GTTAGAAGTTGTATGCTCTTCAGAAGAGTGATCATTACTATCATCATCTACATCCTGAACGCAAGCATCTGACTCTGACGAACTGCGTTTACGTCCATATGTACAGACATATCTCACGAAAAAGTACTTTAGAGTTGGATCATCACTGTTCTTTTTGCATACTGACATAACGTACTTAGTATGCGTATACTAAAAAATAATTATTAACCACAGAGGTCATATTACCTTATGTACTTCTTTCAAACAGGTCTCAAAATTGTCCCAACTTGTAAATCTTCGAGATAACATAATATCATTGAAGATTCGTCCTATATCATGCAACATCACGATGGAATCGTCTTCGTTACTTGAAGAATGAACGTTATCAGACATAGTGTGGCTGAACTCAATTCAAATCTAAAAATGTCTTGATTTGACCGCTTCTAAAAATTTTCACGAATTGTCGATGTGACGCACCAATCATTTTGCGACAGTTTGACCTTCAAGTGCTCGCAACCCCCATCAGTGGACGATACCCTAGGAGCGTTGCCGCTGGCGGGCACGGACTGGCGGGTAAGCCACGGATTTTCGCGCACACGTTACATATTGTCGTGGATTTTTTGTGTCGTTATTTATCAGCTATTAACAGGCTTTTTTTGCATGACACATCAATTTCTGTATTGCTAGTGCTTGTAACATAGTTTTTATTCCAATTTATTGGCAGTTTGACGTATTTCTTGCTCACCACGTAAGTAAATCTGAAGTTAGCTTAATATAGTTATTTGTAACAATACAAACTCAAGCAAGTAAAGTTCACCGCGTTTCTAGTCAAAAAATACATCACAGATTGAGTTTTCATGAAAATGAACCGTAAAATCTTTTACATATGGTTCACTTCCTTGATTGCGGTGACGGTGAACATGGATGTCGGTAGTTGTTTGTAAAATGTAAGTAAAAGCAATCAAGCGTTAACCTAATTGTGAATATTATATAACTTGTTTGTATTTAGCCATAAAAAGTTATATCCATTAGAGGTACCATTGTTTTGTACTGAAGTGACATAATTATGTAACGTATAAAAAAATATGTGAGTAACAATTGACGTTTATAGTGTTGTCCAGCGGCTTTCTGAACGTCTGCAGTAATAGTGTATAACACCACATCAAGTAGTTACAAAATCTTCATGAATAAAACGATCGGTGTTTCTTGTGAGAATGGTGACACAACAATGTTTTTTAGTTAATACTGATTTGTGACGTTTCTGTTATAGGGTTCACAAATGAGTTATTATATACTCTTCACTCCGTTTCGGTAATACAGTTGTTGTGTTAGCGCATTATCTAATTCAATGCAGCTTCCGAATCTCTTATTCAGCATAATACGTTGGAACGCGTCGCTTACGTTCACTGAAATTTCACTTGAGCATGAAGCACTAGAGACAACATACAATAGCTATTAAAAAATGTTATTCCTTGAAAAAAATTAACTGAAGGAAGAACAACAAATATTTAGGACTTACCCTTCAGTTGACATTTCGTCTTAACTCACAAAACTATGCGCATCTATAACCTTTTACGTTATTTTATCTTTCTTACGTTGTTTTCTGGACCTTATCAACAAATTATATATAGCTGTTGACTTTCACTACAGCACTTAGGACCACAGATCAAGTTTCGAAGGAATAACAGAGCTAAAGTGTGCACTACAAAACAGGAAATACTCAGTTAGTGCTCTTAACAGTTATTTAGTGTTTATTATGCATCAAAAGATGACTTATATATGGAAACATTTAATACTCATAGGACCCAACACACACACGGCAATTGAAATACGGAATGCCCGCTTCCAGTCAGCGCGTTCAAGGTCGTTGAAACGAAACGGCGGACAGATTTGAAAGGGATTACCGTTTTTACCTTGCCCAAATACTACCCCAATAGGCGCTGATGATGTCTCCAACAAACAAGTAATTATGTTTAAGAATAGTAAAATAACTTCATTTAAGCCTGATAATGTAGTAGTAGTAAACGGGCAGCCTGGTTTAGTCACTGATATAAAGGAGGATGGACTACTGAAATTTAGGTTTTTCACTGATCCACGCAATTACTTTGAAGATCCTTTCCCATCTAGTGATATAGGAATCTTTATGTGCTCCATAGTTAGCCATGAACACATATGGGTATCGGTTAAGGACATTGATTGTGAATGTATAGCCATAAATTGTATCAGTTATCTAGTTCTAATCCCATTGTTGCATACTTTAGTGTAAATGTATTTTGTTTCATTAGTAATGAATTAATGATAAGGTAGAACATAAAGAAAATTGCACGGACTATTCCCTTCAGCCACGTTCGTTCGGCTATTGAGAATTGAGGTAGTCGTCCTGTGAATTCTGAAGTTAAAAAAAACTTCACAACGACATCTGAATGACATGCTCGGCACAGCCAAATGCTTGAAGCTGAACTTACGGTTATGTTCGTTAATGCTGTAGACTGTAACTATAGAGCCATAGGGAAGTTATCACTTGAAATTAGTACATACCTGATCTTGTTTTCTTCTATTACGCTTTTTCACTTTGTCTCTGACATCGTGGAAATAACCTTGTGTCGCGATGTCGTACAGCTTAGCAAAGTCTTTTTCGTTGACAGCGGATGACAGAAAGCGATTTGTTAACGCACCTGAAGTTTAAATACTAAATATGAGTTACTTCGTATGCAGCCGTAAAACCGGCATTTCTGAAGTGCGCGTTTCGAAGAGGTGCCAAGTAACGTGAATTTACTGACAACCTCAGGTGTTAAGAGGTGTGACAGAACATACCGCATTGATGTTTTCGGATCGTCACTTGGTAACCTCGTAACCATTGCCATCTGTAATAGTAACAAATTATTAAATTAATATTGATGGCTTACAAATCGGTCCCTGGTTTCTTTCTGCTGCAAACCAGTGTCCAGCATCTGCAGTTCCTCTTCAGATGACAAAGGGAGCTGCTGACTCGAGATTCCGCAATGGAATTGATGCGGTTTTCCGCGTTCATTAGACTTAGATAGTAATTGCTTCACGTTAATATTCAAGTCAGTAATGGCCGAGGAAATGTGCATCGTTTTATTCAAGTCAGTGATAGCTGACGACATGTTCTGCACCACTGTATACAACCTATCGAACCTGAACAAGTTCACTTGATGATGCAGGTGACTTACAGGTCCGCTATAACACCACCGACATGCTTAGATTCCGATGTTGACAATGACGTCTCTAATTGCGTCGAACTAATTCGTGAACATCTAAATAATAATGAAGCTTACTTGGCAATTGGCGAGAAGAATTTGTCAAACAACCGAAATTTGGGATATTGTACGTGGCGATTGCCAGCCTGCATCTCAGACACGTCCATGTCCGCTGAATTGTAAAGAAACGCTTCTTTCCGCTTCATTGCACCTCTAGGAAATGTTAGTAAGATTATTGCACAGACCTCTTGGGCTTTTCTGTGTTTTGTGGCAATGTGTTTTCATCCGTAGAAGTGTTTCTACGATGAGATTCCAGTATTTGCAGGGAAATTAAAATATCTTTCGCAGACTGCAAAGAATCTATAGTGAATTATAGTTTCTATGTTCGTTACTTACCGAATTCGTGAATGACTTTACATTTCAAAACTGACCAGTTGTTATCTGGTTGATCGTAGTTTTGCAGGTGAGTATCTATCAGCTCGTTTGGAAGAAGGCAAAGTTCTTTCCCGACCATCCACTCCTTGGATGCTATCATAAGTTCTTTATTGATCGGGACGTGAAGAACGACGTATTTCTTGTTAGTAGGCTAAAAATAACATAAGACGTCATTAAATGGTTTATCATCATTAATTCAACACTAATGAAACAAAATACATTTACACTAAAGTATGCAACAATGGGATTAGAACTAGATAACTGATACAATTTATGGCTATACATTCACAATCAATGTCCTTAACCGATACCCATATGTGTTCATGGCTAACTATGGAGCACATAAAGATTCCTATATCACTAGATGGGAAAGGATCTTCAAAGTAATTGCGTGGATCAGTGAAAAACCTAAATTTCAGTAGTCCATCCTCCTTTATATCAGTGACTAAACCAGGCTGCCCGTTTACTACTACTACATTATCAGGCTTAAATGAAGTTATTTTACTATTCTTAAACATAATTACTTGTTTGTTGGAGACATCATCAGCGCCTATTGGGGTAGTATTTGTTGAACAGCTAAGTTGAGGCCTGTCGTAGAAGGACATTTTTTCAGCATAACGCTGAGCTGCTTGCTTAGCTACAGCAAACCCACCGTGCACAGAATTCTTGATTTTTGTCTCATATAAAATTCGACTGGAAAGGCTGAAAAACTATCTAAAGGTCCATGTGCACGAACGTCGTCAGGGAGGTGCTGTAACGAATGCGCATTGTAAACTAAGTTTTCAGACCCATAACACCATTTGTATTCTTTAAGGAATTTTTGTAAATCTATTCTGGCGGTTTCTACACCAGTATTATGTAGTTTCGGATGTGCAAGCAGATAAATGGATAACGCTAAACGCCGGAAATTAAGATACAAAGGTTGCGGCAATGCTTTTTGAAGAATCACCGGGCTTAAATACAGAAGGAACAACCTACATTCAGAAGCTTTCCATGCCGATACGAAGTCTAGTGTACGGCATTTACGCGGAAAGTCGTAAGGAGTATTTTCCACGCAACCTGATATTAAATTATTAATGTCCCTAATTGCACATGAGTTCAAGTTCAGCAGTCTCCTGTGTGCTAAATCTATCCATAAATTAGTCAGCTTTTTTGTGAAACCTGGGTACACCATGTGCATAGGATTTAAAGTAAAAGTTAAAATCATATTAATCGAAAGCGTTTCCATAATAGAATGTTGTTGATTGTGAAATAATATGTATCTCATTCTGTCATTTATAGTCAGGTTTCTAAGGTATTTTTCTATTTTACTCCTGAATCTGCTTTATTTTGAATGTTGCATTATATTTTGATTTCTATTCCTCAGGTTACACTACATACTGATTCGTACTCAAATCATCATTCGTCTCTGACTCCATTTATTAGTTTGCGCTAACATTCTTTCGAATTCTATGTCTCAAGACATATTAAAAAATGCTGTCCATTCTCAACGTGTTCGTTTCCTGTACAAATTTATACTTACTTTGCATCGTTCACTGCCTTCGCATTTACGGGAAATTGGTGACAAATATGTGAAAACAGAATTCAAGAAGCATAAGGATGTCAAACCCGAATTTGTTCAACCATTCATGGTTGAATGGACAGTAAGTAGGTTTAAATATCTACATATTTTGTATTTCAGGACTTGTTCTAAACTTCATGTATGTTTATAATTACGAAGTCCAGTGATTAGATCCCATAAAGAAGTTTAAATAATGACAGAAATGTTAGTTATGATAGTATGTAATATTAGAGGTAAATTTATCAGAATACGTTTACCTTTTTTCCTTTAAGTTATGTATCTAAACAATCGTGTGACATAAAAGTGTAAACTTGAATAGTCGACTTTCAGGTCGTAAACCGACTGTAAAATGTGGTGACCAGTGATAAAATAAAGTGACATTTATTATGTGCAGTCAGCTTAAGCTTGATTTCATAATAGTCGATGCCTTCATTGTTATGAATAGTTTGAATAAAGGGTGGCATAAAATATGGTGGTTGACTTTCATTAGCAATCCTTGCTTATGGTGTGTATATGGACGCTTGTTTCAGTGTTACTTAATTACTTATGCCTGTTACTCATCATGGAAGAACATAAGCCGACCATCACCACTCTCCATCCAACCCTGTTTTGGGCAATTCTCTCCAGCTCCTTCCAGTTGTTATTCATCCTTTTCATATCTGCTTCTATTTCCCGACGTGATGTATTCTTTGACCTTCCTCTTCTCCGTTTACCTTCTGGATTCTAAGTTAGTGCTTGCTTCGTGATGCAGTTTGATTATTTGCGTAATGTATGTCTTATCCATTCCCATCGTCTTTTCCTAATTCTCTCTTCAACTGGAAGCTGGTTTGTTCTCTCCCACAGTAGGCTGTTGCTGAGTTCCATCTGTTCTTCAGTTGTAGGAATGTGGCCCTTGCTTTGTGAATCCTCGGCTGTACGTTTGTATCTGATCCTCCTTATTCATCGATGATGCTTACCAGGTACGTGAAGGATTCTACATCTTCCAGAGTTTCGCCATCTAGAGTGATTGGATCGCTGTTCTCCGCTTTGAATTTGAGGACCTTGGTTTTCCCCTTATGTATGTTGTGGTTTACTGATACAGAGACTGCTGCTATACTGGCTGTCTTTATCTGCATTTTTTCGTGTGTATGCGATAGGAGGGCTAGGTCATCTGTGAAGTCCAAATCATCTAGTTGGTTCTGAACTGTCCATTGTATGCCGTGTTTTCCCAGTCGATCACCAGAAGAAAGAGGAAGTAGGGGAGTAGACAGTCTTGTCTGACTCCGGTCCTTACTTGGAATGCATCTGTCAGCTGTCCTCCATGCATTACTTTGCACTGTAGTCCGTCGTATGAGTTTCGGATAATGTTGAGAATCTTCTCAGGAACTCCATAGTGTCGAAGAAGTTTCTATAATCTCCTCCTATCTACACTGTCAAACCTCTTCCCATAATCAATAAAGTTGATGTATATTGACGAGTTCCACTCAACTGATTGTTCGACGATGATCCGTAGTGTCACAATTTGGTCTGTGCACGACCTATCCTTACGGAATCTAGCCTGTTGATCTCGAAGTTGGGCGTCTACTGCATCTTTCATCCGGTTCAGGAACACAGTTAAAGACTTTCCGTGGTGCTGACAGTAGTGTGATGCCTCTGTAGTTCTCACATTTTCTCAGATCTTTCTTTGGAATCTTGAGGTGTCCTTCTTTCGAGTCCATCGGCACTTGTTCCTCCTCTCAAATCTTCTTGAATAGAAGGTGAAGTATGTTTGAAGTTACTTCGATGTCTGACTTGAGCGCTTCGGCTGGTATATTGTCGGGTCCTGCTGCTTTCCCGCTCTTGATTTGTCCGATGGCCGTCCTGATTTCTTCCGTCTTTGGTAGATTGACACCTATAGGAAGCTCTGTGTGTGTGCTGCTTCGATGTCCGGTGGATTCAATTAAGCTTGTCTATTCAAGAGTTCCTTAAAGTACTCTGTCCACCTGTTCCACTGTTCTTGAATTTCAGTGATTGGCCTGCTATCTTTATCTTTAGCCGGTCTTTCTGGTTTGTTATATCTCCCTGCTAGTTTCTTCGTTGTATCATAAGACTGTTTCATATTTCCTTCTCTTGCAGCTTTTTTCCGCCGTCGTTGCTAGTTCTTCCACGTATTTCTGCTTGTCGGCTTTGATCCTCTTCTTCACTTGCTTGTTTGTTTCTATGTACTCAGCTTGTGCCTTGACTTCCTCTGCTCGTGTTCGGCTGGCGTGGTTTCTTAAAAATGAAAGGTAGAGTATTCGGTATCCTGCCCTTTAACATTCAGGTGATTTCAGTTAATTAGTATACTAACATTAAAGTTTTATATGAAGTCTTTGGAATTCTGTCCAGATTTTGTTTTTAATTAAATACGGACTGCAGCATATGCAAAAGTATCATTAAATTGTTTCTGTAAATTCACTAACGTAATCATTCGTATACTCCAGTTAATATTTTCCAAGGCGACTGTAAAGTTAAACAATAGGGTATAGTGATGTATATATTCTTAGTTTTTAGTCAACTATGGGAAAACCATCGAATTATATTTCGTTTTTATAGGATTTTTCAATTAGGTCTATCTACAGTCTTGATGCTAGTTCATTGATCCATCCATACTGTTGCTAAAGAGTTCATCATTTGTGTGTGGGCTGTGATACTGCCCGGGTGTCCAAACCGAAGCAGGTGGTGCTTTCCTTACAACTCATTGAAGCCCGTCGGTCTACTCCGGGTGACCGTGAGTTTGACCATAAACGAAGGGTGTTACGTAAGGAAATTGGGCGAAGCTTGCGTAAGGACCAAGAAGCCTGGAAGTCGAAGCGTGCTAATGAGCTGGAAGCAGCAGCTGCATCTGGTAACTACCGGAAGCTCTTCCAACTCATCCGAGTCACTGGCAGCAATAAGTCTGATGTGAGTGAAACAATCTGCGAGGATGATGGGATGCCAATCACTAACATCCATCGACGTCTTGGACGATAGGCAGAATTTTTCGAAGGGCAGTTCAAATGGTCTGCTGCTCCGGCAACATCGGTCAGACTGTCCTGCCCTCCATGGCCGGTGACGACTGATCCACCAAACGAGGAGGAAGTCCGCAGGGAATTCCAACTTTTGTAGCGTTACAAATCACCTGGCCCAGATGACTTACCTCCGGCTCTTTTTAAAGATGGTGGTGACTTTTTGACTAAGGAATTGACGGCGTTGTTTACAAAGGTTTGGGTGTTAGAGAGTGTACCAACGTCATGGAATGAGTCGATAGTTGTCCTTATCTTTAAAAAGGGTTCACGTCGTTCCTGTAACAACTATCGGGAGATAAGTCTACTTCCGATTGCGTCCAAGCTATTGGCTTCCGTCATACTCCGTAGGTTGTTCAAAACGTAAGAAAGACTGACTGGCGAGGAGCAGGCTAGGTTTCGTTCTGGTCGAGGATGTATTGATCATATCTTCACCTTCCGCTAAATGTTAGAACACCGTCATACTTATCAAAGACCAACAATCGTAGTGTTTCTTGACATCAGGGCTGCCTTCGATTCGTTGGACAGGACTGCTCTCTGGGATTGTCTATTGAAGAAGGGTGTGCCTGAGAAGTTTATTAACATCCTAAAAGCCCTATAAACAAACACCGCAGGTAGAGTGAGGGCATACAACTACCTCTCTCCATTGTTCCATTCGAACAGTGGGGTAAGACAGGGTTGCCCAATCTCACGATTCCTGTTCAACTTTGCCATCGATGACATTCTGGAAACAGCTCTGATGAATGTAAGTAATGGTGGTGTGGATCTGTTGCCTGGAGAAAGACTTCTCGACCTTGAGTATGCGCATGATATTGTCTTACTGTGCGATAATGCCCAAGGCATGCAATCCGCACTTAGTCAGTCGGCAATCAGTGTCCGTAAGTACTGTATGTGCTTTGCACCTCTGAAGTGCAAAGTACTTCTACAGGACTGGCAGGATTCCAATCCTGTACTCACCCTGGATGGTGAGCAGATAGACGTAGTTGAGAAGTTCGTGTATCTGGGTAGCTGCATAAGTGCTGGTGGGGGTGTGAGTGATGAGATCAATGCACGAATAGTGAAAGCCAGAGCGGCTTATGCCAATCTGGGCCATCTTTGGCGCCTTCATGATGTTAGTCTGGCTGTGAAAGGTCGGATCTACAACGCGTCGGTCAGAGCAGTTTTGCTCTATGCTTGTGAAACCTGGCCTTTCCGAGTTGAGGACGTTAGACGACTCTCTGTGTTCGATCATCGTTGTCTCCGAAGGATTGCTGACATCCAGTGGCAACACCATGTCAGTAGTGCAGAGGTTCGGCATCGTGTGTTTGGGCACAGAGGTGATAATGCAATTGGTGTCACTATCTTGAAACACCGACTTTGGTGGCTTGGACATGTTCTACGAAGGTCGTCCCAGAGAATTCCACGTCGTGCATTATTCGTCGACTCTGGGACTGGTTGGAAGAAGCGGAGAGGTGGTCAGTGCATGACATGGTGTCGTGGCATGAAAGAAAGCTGCAAAGGACTGGCTTCTGTCGGTCCTTCACGGCTCGCTGGTTGGGGTCCGAGAGATGGTGTGACACAGTGGCTAGAAATGTTATCAGATATGGCTCAGAATAGAAGCCAGTGGCGATCCTGCTGTATCCTTCCTTTACTTTCTTCATAAAAAGTGGTTTTGTCTCCCTTACCTGAAAGATTTCTTCTGATTGTACCTTTCCGTTCCCTCATTTCTACCATACTACCTTACACCAATCTCTTCGTTATTGTTCTCTTTTTCTTTTTGCGCTCCTTAGTTTTTTTTCTATTTCTCTTCACATTCTCATTGTTTTGTGTGGCGCATATATATTGGCGCTCTCTTGTACCAATATTCATGTGTTCAAATAAATAAATAAATATTGTTGCTATAAATTAAGCACCAGCTAAAACATGATACTTTTCTAAAGTCTTAGTTGTTGATCCATTGGTCGATTAGTGCAATAAGCTCAACGTTATCGCTTGCTTTCACCTATAGGTTTGCTGCAGATACTTCAGTCCAGGTATCCGCGTAGTGACATCAGTCCAAAACCCAGTACAACAATTTTCTTACCATTAATGATACTCTTATTTTTCACTACTTTTGTATTCCTGATCATTTTAGTTCATTCAATAATGTGGCAACATGAAAAGATGAATACATGTGCTCTATTCTACGCTGCTTACGATTGACCCTAAGCATACTCCTATCCACCACCTAATACCAAACTTGTCTGATAAATATTGTGTTATCATTGTATCCATGTATAGACTTCCATTTTAGCATTCCCTAAATGTCTTAAAACTGTCTTTAACTATTTGATTGACTGACCTATAATAAGTTAATCAATAACCAATCTAAGTTTGGCCTTTTACAACTCAACATCCTTAATACTTATAAGTGATTAATAAAGTTGCTAATTTTTACTTAAAATAATTATCTTATTTAATAGAAATATGCAGTTGAATTATCAATGCAAATTCAACAGTCAATACGAAATTCGAATAATAAAATTAGCGAAAAGGATAAAATTAAAATGAACAAGGAAGAAGCGCTTGGTAAACCATTGGATGAAACTTCATTGAATTATTTTTCTGAAACACAACTTAATCAGCTATTAACTTTAGCTAAAGAAATTTATGATGAAAATCATAAACCATTAGAAAACTAGTCGAAAAATGATCAACTAATACAAATCAACTTTACTACAATGTGTTGCGATCTATATCAATAAAATGTAGTGATTCTATTTGTTTTTAGATTTTCTGAACTTTTTGAATTAGTTGATGTGAACAAGCTACAGTCATTTTGAAATAAACCTTTCATATGTCAATCAGTCAGCTACAACGTAGGACCAGACACATGTATGCATCGGTCCAAGTTGCCATTACCTCATTAACACAACAAGATGAACACCGGATTCATAAAAGTAGTTAATTCAGTGGTGGTAATATATAAAAGAAAGATTGCAATAAGGATATAGTACAGGAAGAAATAACCAGTTCGTAGAAAGAAAGATATGAAGCAATTTTATTCTCTTAGTTTAAGGGAAGATAGATAGTGTATACACCGACGCCAATGTGATCGATTCTGAGCCATGTCACCTACAGTCTCCAACCATTGGTTACGATAGTCACGCGGACCCCAACCAAGTAGTCTGCATCTACCAACATGGCACAGACTAGAAGTTAGTGACTTCAAACACTGATGCCACTTTTTGGGTTGGTCGCCCCCTAACTTTCTTTCAACCATCCCCTACACTAGTCAGCATTGCGCGTTGTGGTAATTGGTGTTCAGGCATACGTAACACGTGACCCAACCATCTCAGTCGATGAAGATTCACAACCTCATCAACTGGTTTACCATCATTCCTTCATACCCTGCGCGTAACCTCACTATTACTTACCCGGTGATCCCAGCAGATGTGAGCCATATTTCCAATACATCTGTGGTTAAATACTACTAGCTTACGAGTATCATTTACTCTTAATGGCCACGTTTCGCAGCCGTAAAATATATCAGATCGAAGTGTACTAGCGCTTTAATTGATACACGCATATCTCGTCTTCGCCATAGGTGACGAAATTTGGCAAAGGCCAAACGAGCTTTCTGAATCCGTGCTAAGATTTTATCAGATACCAACCCATTAGGGCTGATCAGACTTCCAAGATAAGTGAAGTTGTCAACGCGTTCAACTACTTCACTCCCTATCCTTAGTTCAGGTGTTGACGGAGACCAGTCCTGAAGCAACAACTTGCATTTAGAGGGAGAGAAGCGCATCCCAAACATTCTGGCATAGTTGCTTAGTGCTACCAGAAGACTCTGCATTTTGTCAGCGTCTTCACCAAACAGGACTATGTCATCTGCGTATTCTAAGTTGATAAGTGGACCTCATGGAAGGAGATCAATACCTGAGAATTCAGTAGACGAGAATGTTATTTCCATCAATAGGTCTATGATGAAGTTAAACAAAAACGGAGAAAGTGGACAGCCTTGTTGGACACCACCTGAGGTTGTGAAAGCAGATGACAGTTCGCCGTAAGCTCTGACTCGACTAGTAGTGTTCGAGTAAAGAGCCTTCACAAGGTTTATGTACTTCTGAGGTACGCCTTTCAGTGACAGACATCGGGACAGAATCTCGCGGTCTGCGGAGTCAAATGCTGCTTTTAAGACAAGAAAGATCACCATTGTCGGACGCCGATAAACGTGCCTGTGTTCTAGAACCTGACGGATGGTGAATATGTGGTCGATGCAGCCACGATCAAGTTTAATTCCAGCCTGATTTTCTCGTGTTTGCAGTTCACGAGCCTTAGTTTGGCGCCCGATCGTTATTGAGGCTATTATTCTAGATGCTATGTTAGTCAAACTAATCCCTCTATGGTTATCACAGGATGATTTTGACCCTTTCTTACATATTGGGACAATCAGTGATTGTTACCAGTCAGATGGAATAACGTCTAATTCCCAGATGTTAGCTAAAATATTAGTCAACCTAATCGATAAAATTGGACCACCATCCTTAAAGACCTCTGGAGCCAATCCATCTCGACCAACTGCTATTCTTCGTTTCAGATTAACTACAGTCTGTTGGACTTCAGCTAGAGTTGGGGTACCTACTTCAATGTTCCATTCACTGTCTGGAAATGGAGAGTAGTTGTAGAGTAGCTGAAGGCCAGTTGAACTGTTCTCTGAAATATACTGCCCATCGTTCTAAACGTCTGGACTGAGAGCAAATGAGTGTCGTCTTTTTCCGAAGTCGTCTGACTTACACTTGACTTAGTAATTCCAGTTTCTTTTATTAGTCTGTAGAGCTGTCTTGTGTTCCCTATAACCGCCGCCGTTTCCATCTCTTTTGCTTTCGCTGCCCACCACTGCTCACGGTCGTTCCTTAGACTTTTGCTTAACCTAGATCTGATTTGTTGTCGCTCTTCATCGTGTTCAGAGCCTGATGGGATGAGTGTTCAAGAATCCATCAGTGCAATAGACCTTGAAGAAATCCATTGGTTCTTTGTAACTCTGTGGTTTAAATCACTGATAGATGTCACTGCTGTTTCCACAGCTGTTCGCATATCTTTTCAAGCAACATTTGGGTCAACCTCGTTTTGAGAACTACCTGTGACCCTGGTTGTTCCTGGAATTTACTTTTGGCTTCCTCGTCACTGAGTTAGACTATTGGGTTTTCTTAATGTGGTTTCTTTGCGTCCATTGAGGTGCAAGTAAACTCGTGCTCGTATTAGAACATGATCGGAGTCCAGACAGGTGTCCCAGAATGAACGACAATCCTCTACCGACCCTCTCCAACGATGACTGATGGCAATATGGTCTATTTGAGTCCATCATTGGTTTGGTGTAGGGGGTCGCCATGTTAGACGATGTCTCTTCTTATGCTTAAAATCTGTGTTTGCTAAAAATAAACGATTGTCTGAACACAGTTGCAGCAGACGATCACCATTATCTGTTCGCTGAGCTGGAATACTGAAATACCCACCCAAATGCCTTTCTGTTTGGTTTAAACTACCTATCTGGGCAATAAAGTCACCTGCTACGAGTACTATGTCTGAGTGTTTATTCTTATGAATAAGTTTAGAAAGCTTTCTATAAAAGTCATCTTTCATTTAATCCGGGCTGCAGTCGGTGGGAGCGTAGGGAGAAACGACAAAAAGGCAACGACGTGTGTCCCTATCCTTCCGAGGTCTTACAGAGCCGTTTAGCCGAACAGCACATAAACGACTGTTAACGGTGATCCACTCTAATAGTGCTTGTTCTGCCCTCATGCTTAGTGCTATACACACACCTGCCAGTCCACGAGAACTGGCCGTTGGGTCACCAGATACACGGAGGGTGTATCTCGTTGGCTCTCCGTTTTGCCGAGGTGAGTCAAGGGAATGACCACACTAGGATCCTGTATGCGTGTTTCGGAGACACAACATATATCAATGGTACGAGATTCTAGGGTTTTAGCCAAGAAGGTCTGCTGACTGATTTGACATAGTGCGCGTGAGCCGAAGGCTCCAATATGTCGTTTGGAGCGAGGTTTTAGTAGACCTGGGAGTGCTTTGAGCACTAGAATCGTTGGCTATTGTGACACTTGAGGAGGAATCCGAAAGAGGAAGTTTAGCGTTGAAAGTCGATGTAGGAGGAATACTAGGAATTGAAGACGGAGGTTGATTAGGAATACAGTGGTCTTAAGTGCTGTTAAAGGTATGAGGGCGGCTATCACTTCCCGGTCGCACACACCATGGGAGGGTTCTTTTGGAGGTACCTGAAAAGGAACTTGGATTAGAGGTGGTCTTAGTGACCTGAGAGCGTGACCGCAGTGCCCGAGGTACAACTGCTTGAGGTCGGTCACACGACCTTTTTATGAGTAATTTTTGTGTTAGCTCGGTACTTGTTGAGACCTTACCACCGGAGACAGATATCCGTGGGATAAGGCGAGGTGTGGATTTTTAGAGTCGACCTTTTCTAACCCCACCCCTCCTTGTGGGAAGGCAGCATCGCTGTCATGCTGGTTGTCTGAAGGAAACACCTTACTGCTGTCACACCTCTGTACAGTCAGCAGTACGACTTCGCCTTCGGACCTCGGGTTTGTTGGTTTTCGTCTTACCGCTCTCCAACCGACCTGTCTGACATGGTAGGACCTTGAGGAACGGTTGTTCCAGTCAGTATAGCTCAGTTGCTTCATCACAATAGACAAGCCTGACCACCACGTCAAGGTAACAACAACGGTCGGTTAAGCTTTGTTCTGGTGGATGGTATTTTCAGAGTAACGTGATTATGATAATGTGAAAGTGAGAAGTAAAGCCAACAACTCAGTAAGTCTATAAGATGTACTTGCGTTTAATAATGTAAGGGGTCGCGAATAACATGGTAATGACAAACGTGAAATTAAAGCAGCCTGATAATGCAAAATAGAAGTTGGGATAGAGTAAGGCTTCATATGGTTTACACTAAGTGCAGATTTGCTCAGTCGGCTGTAAGTCATACATTTTTGTATGTGATGGCTAGTTCCGGCCATAGCTTCTATCATGGCGTGGTAATTAAGCTTGTGTATCTAAATGGCTCAGCCGAGCTTTACCTTCAGGAATAGTCGTTCCTTTAGGCCGTATCATATCAGACAGGTCGCTTGGGGAACGGTAAGATCTAAAGCAACAACTTAGTGCTTGAGGGCGGAGTCGTACTGCAGATTGCGTAGGCGTGTGACAATAAGGTGTTTGCTTGACGTCTGCAGCGATTCTGCCTTCTCACAACGGATGACGTTTGTAAAAGTCCTTCCAAAATATCAGGCTTTGTCCCGTGGGTCTCAATTACCTACTGTGAAACATTGTTGGGTCGTCCATAACATTTAATCACTTAAAATTCGGGTGTTTCATTCGCTCTCAGGCCATCACGACCATTTTAGTCTATTTTTCTCTTACAGTTACTTCAATAAGTATCATTCAACCATTTGGGGGACCGGTACATGACAACCTCCCCCATACTTCTGTCAGTACTTGAGATCATCTTGTTCACATTCGGATCATTTGATGGCTAATGATAAAATATCGTTTGGTTGCCTGAAATGAAGTAGATTTATGCTGTTTAGACCTGTGAGTTATTGGTTGATGTCAAAAATTTCAGAACACTGAACTACCTTTCGACATGGAATATTAACTGATATTACCTAAAACATTTTGTTCAGACAAAATTTAGATGTTTCAGCGATGAAATGTTTTTCTACGATATCATTTGCTAGAACTGTATAATCATAT